TGCATGTGGTACGCCAGCTAAGCGCTCGCATAGGTTGCGCTTACTATCCAGCGTCTTGAAGCTGGGAGCATGCATGAGTAGCCCCACCACGAACTGGCTTAGTGCAGCTACATATGGCCTGTTGTTGTCGGGGGCTCGCTGCACAGACATGATCTTGTGCGAGACTGGCATGAGCGCATGGATTGGTGCGAGATTCACGAGGCGCTTGAGGACATCGGGCGTAATATTTTTAATCTCGCCCTCGAGGATTAGGTCATACGTCTCATAACAACCGTGTCGCCCATACGCGACATAGACGTTACGAGGGATGGGACCATACTTAGCGAACGCGCTAGCCAAGAGGTCGTAATCAAATGTATCGATGACCACGAGGTTTGGTTGAAGCCCGAGCCTATAAATTCATGTTTAAACGCCGGCATACAGATGAAACAGGAGAGCACGCACCCCATGACGATTTCATGCCAACTCCAAGGATTCATAGTCCATATTTGACCCTTTGCTTGCTAGTGAAGCAAACATTCGGGGGTCAGAGTCTAGCTATGCAAGGATGACACTTTAACGAGCCCACCTTAAGCCACCCTTTATATCGTGTTTGTTGTGGTGATGTGGTTTGAACCCCGAATACATTCTTCCATAACGCAGCATCCGGCGGATCGTCCGCAACGCCCAGGTCGAACAGAGACCAGATGTTTTCTGTTCGGAGAGCGTTTACAGCTTCTTCTGAGGAGTTATCGGATGCACCGCGGGCGGAAAAATAGATAGAAGGGTCGGAATCCATGGTAAACATCGTTGGCAGTTTGTCGCGAAGACGGCACCGTAGGGCATACCATAAGAAACATGTTTTTCCTCCACAAAATATTAAGCACAACTTTCCTAAATTTTTATATTCCTACATACCTATTCCAGGGTTGCCCAAAATAGCAATTCCCCCGGATATTGTCGATTCTAGCTTGAGGTTCTCCAGTGCGATGTCATATTCTTCACGGATGAGGATAAAAGCCGGAGCCTTGCTCATAGTGTCCCTCATATCGAGATATCGAATAGACACTGAGCTTGTCAACGCGTCGTCGATGTCCATGTCATCCTGGTTAACAGCTATTGGCAACTGCATCGTCTTCAGCTTGAAGTCCAGGGGCTTTCCCCACCACGCCTTCCAGGTTGCCTTTGCTTCGTCCATGAGTGCTTGATGGCGATAGCTCGAGGAACTGGAAGAACGTGGGTTAATAGTGGAACCTAGTCAAAGATATAAGCGATGATATCGTGTTGAGGAAGCCAGCAATGTTCATGATTAAGAAACACAGAAGACGAAGCACTGCTCACCCTCATGTCCTCGGACCAGGACATGGAGATGTCCGTCCAACGGGTCGTCAAACACACTTGACAATGTCTGCACGGCCCGTGCATGGTTTTCGTTTTCAAAGGCATATTCTTTGACCGTCGGGGTATACTGTGAGTCGAAGAGAATCGAGACTTTCCATATCTGAAGGTCATCGGCGTCGATATGGGCAAGGGACACCGAGTTCTCGGCCTTGATCGCCTGTTTCAACTGTGCTACAGTCCGTGTGCTCGCAATAGAAATTACGAACATACGGTGTTCAGGCTCATCGCCATATAGTAGGCAGTTGAGAACGATTTCGCGTGAAGCCATTGTAGCAGTGGAGATGTAGTAGAAAGGCTTGATGGAGATCGTAGAATATATGGCGTTGCACTTTCATTTCCATCCCGCGAGGCCTTTCGTTCCCACGCTCTCATTGGCCGAGAGCTCAGCTTTCCTATTGCGTCAGGATCTGATTATCCCCACGACATGCCACACAGTGCATTCATTTATTTTACCGATGAATCTTGGGATACTTGATCAATTGCACTGGCAGCAGGTAATCAGAGACATCTAGCGATGAACATTTCATTCAAGAATTCAAGAAATTAATTATGTGCGACCAATGAAACTAATCAGGTAATTAGAAATTAAATGGTGGAGTGGGGGTATGTTCCAGGGCGGGTGAGGAGATTCAAATGTGAAGGTTTAGACATGAGTCGTTATATTCGTAATTACCGTACTGTCAGTTCACATGATAGTGCACCAACGGGACTTTGTTTCTTCGTCCCCAGGGGACACGACAGGCGTGACAGCAGGTTCAGATTGAGCGGAATCCTGGGATGCCGACCTGATAAACTCTCCGGTGGCGACATCGGTCGACGTTCTGGTCTTGATGACATCTGGGATCGTTGGAGATGAAGTGAACCATCCACCAGGGAAGAACCGCGATATTGCGGATTCGGTCCTCTTGCGCGGAGCTGATTCAACTGGGTCCTCGGGCACATTCAGGGCGTCCGATGTGGTCAAATGCGGCGGCAGGGAGGGTCTGAGCAAAGTACATCAGTCCATGTGAAAGATAGACATTGTCAGATGGACTCACTCCTTGGCAGCTTCCTGAGCATCAAATGAAGGAATGAGCGGTATGTAAATACAAAATAGAAATCGAGATTGCCGAACCGGTGCTGGTGAGATGAAATACGCGAGCGGGGCTGCCAGGACCTCACACCAAGGCTGAGCGAAGTTCTCTTCGAACGCGGGCCGTAATGAGAGTGGGCGCCTGTAAGGGGTTCATAGCAGGGACACCAAGGTTGGCCGACGTTCTCTGGAACGACGGACGGACAGAGGGCCGCTGGGAGGAATGCACGGACGGGGTAATAGGGAAACCTTGGGTGGAGCTGTTCGACAGTGTGTATCGACTGCGTTGGGGGCCGTCTGCAGTGACTACATTAAAGCCCCGGTCAAGGCTGAAACACATTGATGTGAGGTGGCGAACACTTGGGGCGTTTTAGAAAGTTCAGCGAAATGATTTTGATGAACACCCATCTATGGATTATATTGATACTTAATGTGTACGTTGTATTTTGGCTTTCCGTGTAGGCCTGGGCTCCGAATAGGTGCATTGCAATGAACTTGAACCTGGCATGGGTCGGTGGCTGTGCCAACAACCGTAATCGCAGCACACCGGCTGCTGATTGCTTGCCATTGAAATCCCACCTTCACCATGGCGCTTCTGGCTCCAATCATCTGCGATAATGGAACGGGCTACTCAAAGATAGGGTATGCGCATGTAATCGTCGATGCCAGCTCTGAACTGACAGAACACCACCCAGATTTGCAGGCAACTCTGACCCATCCTTGTAAGCACATACAACGTTCACTCAGAAACGCGTTTTGATCAGCGCATACCAGCGTATTCCCAACCGCAATCGCTACTCGAGGACCAGCTGCGCAATCAAATACGCGAGGCCCGGCCGTACCTGCACGTCCAGGTCATCTCGCATCGAAGCGGGGTGTCGAGGACCTCGATTTCTTCATCGGAGACGAGGCACTCGCAAATTCCAAGACGCCGGGATATGGTGTCCACTACCCTATTCGCCACGGCATGATTGATAATTGGGATCATATGGAGCGTTATTGGGAGCAGACTATATTCAAGTACTTGCGTGCAGAGCCTGAGGATCATTATTTCCTTCTGGTGAGCTTAGTATCTGTTACCTTACTCCATGTTACTTACCGAACTCTCAGACCGAGCCACCCTTGAATCCCCCTGAGAACAGAGAACAAACAGCCGAGATCATGTTCGAGTCTTTCAACGTCAAAGGCCTCTACATTGCAGTGCAGGCCGTCCTTGCGTTGGCCGCATCTTGGTCCTCCAACCGTGTCACCGACCGCACTCTCACTGGGACCGTTATTGACTCTGGAGACGGTGTCACACACGTTATTCCTTGCGCGGAAGGGTACGTCATCGGCAGTGCGATCAAGCACATCCCCATCGCAGGTCGCGATATTTCCCAATTCGTTCTCAATTTGATGAGAGAAAGAGGGGAGACTGTCAACATTCCCCCTGAGGACCAGTTGAAGATCGCGTCGAAAGTCAAGGAGAACTTCAGCTATGTATGCCAGGATATTGTGAAGGAGTTCAGAAAGTACGATGCGGAGCCGTACAAGTACTTTGAGAGGTTTGATGGGGAGCACAGTGTTACAGGACGCGTGAGTCTCCAGCTTCCCGAAATCCACCTGTGCCGATTTGAGTTCATGCTATAACCTCACAGAAATATAGCATCGACGTTGGTTATGAGAAATTTCTGGCACCCGAGATATTCTTCAACCCAGAGATATACTCCTCTGACTTCCTCACGCCGCTACCCCAGATTGTCGACGATGTCATCCAATCTTCACCAATTGATGTTCGTCGAGGGCTCTATAAGGTCGGCCCTGTTCAATTTCGTGCCGTTAGAAGTCTTGCTGAAAACGTCGTAACAGAACATTGTCCTTTCGGGGGGCTCTACAATGTTCCAGCACTTTGGCCAACGTCTCAAGCGTGATTTGAAGCAATTGGTCGACCGTAGACTGGATGCAAGCTCGGCTGCTAGCGGTAGTGTCCTCAAGGCAAGTCGTGTTTCTCGCCCACCCTTGCCAAACATGCTCATCATTTGTCCAGTCGTCTGGCGTGGATGTTGATGTCATCTCTCACAAGCGTCAACGGTACGCCGTTTGGTTCGGTGGCTCACTTCTCGCCTCTCTTGTGAGTCATGGTTCCTTGACTAGGTTGCTTGAAATTCTAATCAAGACTTGCTCATCAGCCCGAGTTCTACACTTCGTGCCATACCAAAGCCCAGTATGACGAGATCGGACCTAGTATCTGCAGACGGTACCAGATTTTCGGTAGCGCCACCTGATTGTTGTAATAAGAAAGCGACGACTAAGTCAATCCTTTGTAAACGTGTAATCTATCGAGGTTCATGCGCATCTGTAGAAACTATCGCACCGGCTGTGACTAGCACTGTATACATAAGCAAGGAATGCGAGGGGGGACAGTTGCGTTCGCAGCAACGACTGGATGGCAGAGGGTGACAGGCAGTATGCATCTTCTACTGCCAGCGCTGCGGACGTCAACGCCGCTCAACGGCATGTCGGTAAAAAAAGGTCGTCTTGCGTCCTGAGAGGATGAACAAGCAAAAAGTCCCTCGAGCCGGGATCGAACCAGCGACCTCGGGATTACAACACTCAGAGAGTGAACATGTTAACCAATTACAGTCCCACGCTCTTCCAACTGAGCTATCGAGGGCGGATGATAGATGCTCCACCCTGACAGCTATTATGTGCTTGCTGGCACTACTTAACCTCCATTAGCTCCGCCGATTTCTCAACCAATTTCTCGACCCGTTCCTCACACGGACAAGCTTCCTTAAGTACCGTTGGTTTTAAGGCCTCAACAGGTTCAAACAATCTGGAGACAACCCACAATGAAATATTGATCGAAAAGAATGTTGCATATATAAACAGCTCGAGAGCAAAAGCGCGAAGGCCGAAGAAACATTTAAAAGAGCTTAAACAGATAAGGTACGTGCAAAAAGAAAATGGATCACTAGGTTCGCTGAGAAAGAGAAGAAAGAGAGGAAGAACGACAGCGGGCAACGACGTATCTGACGAAAATAAGGGTACAAGTATGATATGCATTGTCCTTGTTGAAGAGCTCTGCGTAGAGTATTGTCCGACTCGGCTCGAAAACAACGGAGGCTGCGCAATTAAGAGAGTCTGGGGTGAAACGGGCCACGGCCACGTCGATTACAGCCCCCATATACGTGTTTATTTGCTGAAACGAGCGGCGGTTTATTGCTGGAGCATTAGCATCGATCTAGCGCTGGCCATCCTGCCATCAGGAGATACGGGAGTGGGCGGCATCGGTAGATCACGGTCACGTTCGTACGACGTCCCTGACCCCGACGAGCCGCGGTAGGACCCCCCATCCATGCGCGCAGAGGACATGTGTGCTGGGGCATTAGGGTATGATGAGGGTTCAGCGCTCAAGTGTGCATTGCGCTGGTGCGCACCGTTCGGGTGCGCGTAGTGCACAAAGGACTCAGGTGGAGCTGGGGAGGGCGCCACCTTGGGCTTCTGCTGCTCGCCGTCGGACGCAGAGCCCCCGGACTGCGAGGCATCCTCGAGGCGCTGACGGCGCGCGGGCCTTTCCGCGGGCGAGAGCGAGCCTGAGGCGTGTTTGCCATTGTTATTGGTTTTAGTGGCCACTGCGAGCGATGAGCTGCTCTTATCCTTACGCTTCCGACTCGCCGTGGAGCCCGTGCCTTCCTTCTTGGCTCGCGAGCGGGCGTACCGCAGCCCGCAGCTGTACAACCCAGATGAAACTGGCATCAGCAATTGACAGATACAAGAGAAGAAAGAGAAACCCACGCATTGCACAGTTCCTTCTTCCCGCTTGGGCCCTTCCTCCACTCAGGACTCTGTGACGTCTTACAGCTGGTGCACTTCTGTGCACCAGTTGACACGCTCGCAGCACTACCCCCCCTCGCGCTGCCCTTGTCTTTTGCTGTGCCCGTGCTGGAGCCCTGTGGGCTCACGCGTCGCCTCGACGGCGGCACGATATCATTGGCACCGGCACTGGCGCTCGGCGGGCTGCCACTGTAACCATATTCGGCTGCCTCAGGTGCGGCGGATTCGGGACGGGAGAAGGCCTGGCTTGAATCCATGTATTGCTGCTGGCTATTCCATTGTTGCTGGGCGTATGATACTTCAGCGTTGGGGTCAGCCCATTGCTGGGGCGGATAGCCAGCCTGAGCTTCCGGGTGGTTGTAACCGTTACCGTACGCTGGCGCAGAAGCTGGATAGGGTGGCGGAGGAGGAGGGTAGGGTTGGCCATTCTGATCGAAATATTGCTGCTGTTGCTGCATGGAACATGGACTGTTAATCGCTGCTTATATTAGAATGGATGAGTGCGTTACCTTGTGGCATGCAAAAATTATTGTGCCGTGCGGGACGATAATGCTCTCGATTTCACCTATAGAGTTGAGCTGGCACGCCTTGTACCTTCTGGTACAGCTCGTCTTCGCGCCATCGCCTGCATTGTCCCCGGAATGGATATTCACATCTTCAACCAGCTTCGCATAATCCCTGCCCTGGCCCTGGTCAGGCGGCCAGGTCATCATCAGAGCCTTGTTGTCATTCGACATGATCTGGAATACGCGGGAGGAGGTTGGCCCCCCTGGGGTATTGAGAGGCACGCATACGAGCAGACGCTGGTAGAGCAGCTCAATCTGCTGCATAGACATGTACGGCGTGCCACACCAGTTTGTCCAGTGGCTCTTGTGCTTCTCGTCGTTGTCCTCGGGGCTCAGGTCCGTGACAGCGTGGATAAAACACAGGACGAGGCCATCCGCGGCCCAATTGATGACAATATCCACGGCCATGTAGTGGTCATCGAGGGCAATGCGGTCTGCTTCTTGCCAGGGCGACTGGCTCGTGCGGTGGCCTAGGTCATATCTAATACGCGAAAGACGAGAGTAGCGAACGCTGGCATAGGATAGTCAGTTTGAGGGTCGTCATTACCAATGGAAGAATAGGGGGCACACACCGTGTGACGCTACCGTGGAGAGTCTTGTTATCGAGTACACTGCCGAGGTCGAAATCGGCAGATTGGCGTTCTTCGGGGTGCACGAAATCGAGCAGGGACCTGCCGACAAGGGCACCGGCCTGCTCCTCGAGGTGGTACTGGAGCACCGGGTCGAGGTAGATGAAATCGAGCCCTGCCGACAGAAGCGACCAATCTATAGTCCAAATTCACCGTCAGAACATGCAGGAACAAAGTTTGGAGGTAGAAAATGGGGGAAATGGGGGTGTCGATCACCCAGCTCACCACCGATCATAGTGATCGGGTTCCACGCAACAAGGAAAGTTCGACGACGATGGCACTCACAGCAGCGGGTTTCACCAATCTTGGGCAACGGACGCGGGATAGGATCGACGAATGTAGGCTGTCCATCGTGTCGCGCCGCTGGGGCCGCGGTCATGCCCGTCGTTGCACCGTAAACATCCCCGTGCCCAACGTTGATATGTTGCTGCTGCTGCTGCTGGCCCTTGCCATTCTGGTGCGGCATGGGCCCTAGACTCTGCGGCGTGTTGGGCGAACCGTTCACATAAGGGTTGTTGATGGTATTGCTCATCGTTCAACGGCTGGGAAGGGAGATAGCTCGACGGGGCCAGGTGGCAGCGGGGGAACTACAATATTAGTATATTGTACAGTATGCTGTTCTTTTCGAGAGCGAATGTGAGGGGTATTTGGGATAGGTTGCAAGGGCCTGGATATGGGGAGGGCGCGGTCGTTGGGATTGGAGGGGAGAGGGCCAAGTAGTGCGGTCGGTGGCTAAGACAGGGTCCACGTACGGATATTACGATTTCACATAGTTAAATTGGACGCTCGGGACTTCCTCCCGCTCACAAATTTCTACTTCTCTACGGCATGATGCTTATCCAAAGTGTTATTTTAATTTACATTACCCTGTAAGCTGAATTTCAGCGCAATAAGCGATGCGACGAGGCGGTACCACCGGCTCTGGCAAAGGTACCACCGCCTCCTTCGCCTTATCACTCTCAGCACAGGCGACTCGAAATATCCGAGCAGGCACGCTGCACCCCCTCGACGTCAACACGAGTGTTGTTTAGTGTCTATAAAGTGGAGTACTTCCTTGCGCAGCTAGTCCGTGCTGCCCGTTCCCATGTCTCATACTGTAACTGTCCCTGACATGGTTCCGAAGGACTTTCACATCATTTGACAGTCGTCGTCTAGTCCATCATCAGATTTATACCCCCCCTCCTCATACCTCCCCATGATATGTAATTCGCAAGTATTCGCCCTTTGTGCGCAATGCTCTCGCTGGGTTAAGGCCGAGTCAATTTACACAACCACGCGCCGACTGTCACTCTCGATCGTGATGGACGCGCGCCAATCCTGATCCGGTTCGCTATTGCATAAGTTGTTCATTTTCGGTGCCAAGTTCTCCCGCGGCCGGCGAACTCGAACACATATCCTCTCCAGTCGACATGCCAGTAGCCACAGAAAACGGGACGCACGTCGCTCCAGGGAAGAACATATGGGTCGCAGCGGGCGATGGAGATCTTGCGCGTGTCAAGGTGCTCCCCTTTCTGAACCATCTGATAAAACATTCAAGTCTGATAAACCACCCGCTGCCTGCGTAGGAACTTGTCGAGACCAAATGTAACTCTCAGTCTTGTCTTATCTCCATATATCAAGCGTGATCCTTCCCTCAACAAAATCTAACGAATCTCCGCCATTCTAGCGGTATCGCCCAATGTGCCCGATCCATATACCTACACGCCCATGTGAGACCCCCGGCACTGCTAGTGTGCCATCCAAGAAACTGAATATCTGTGGTAGGCACGCAGCGGCCTCGTATGGTCAGGTTGATATTTTGGAGTACCTCATCTCGCACGGTGCGTCGTCACGCAGAAATCGCACCAGAATGTGTACTAAAGCTGTCTGGGGAGACAGGCGGAGATGTGAACGTGGCAGATGAGGACGGGGACACTCCGATATACACGGTAGAGAACGTCGATACTGCACAGTGGCTCGTGGAGCATGGCGCGAATGTGCACCGTGTCAACGCGGAGGGTGTCTCGGTGAGCCCTACTCGGCGTTCCCCTCAACAGTGTGTCGGAGTTTAACCTGCTTATTTTAGCCAATCGACCATCTAGAGGAGGACTTCCCCACCGTAGCGAGCTACCTTGCCTCCCTCCCCATGCCGTCGCCCAGCACCACCTCTGCTCCTTTACGCGCCGTGCCTGCCTCCCAACCTGAGCAGCCCTCGCAGCACTCCCAGGAAGTTGTATCCGAGGAACTCACGTCGGCTCTGATGGAGCGCGTGGCTGAGATCATGGCGCGCGCGGAACGTGAGGGCAGGGATCCAGATGAAGAATTGAGGGCTGTAGTGGGGAGGAGTGTGCTGGAGGGCATGGTGACAGGGTATGAGATGAGTGTGGATGGGGAGGTCGAGGAGAGGGAGGATAGGGGCGATGCGACGAAGAGGCGGAGAGGGAATGAAGGGCCAGAAGCAGGGAGATAAGGCTTTGCATGGATTCTTTGCTGGATTTGGATGTCGTTAGAAAAAAATACTGTACATAGACTATATCGATTTGTGATTAGAATGTGAGACCATGATGGATCTGAGCATGATCTATTTTTTTTCATCGGGCCAATACAATTACTGCAGATAACGGGCGCCGGCACTTTTGTATTTTATCATCAGCGCCTGTGTG